GCAGCACTGCCACACCAACAGCAGCTCTGAGGTATAAGAAGTGAGTAACAGTCAGACAGCAGGTTGAGGAGGGTGTTCTCAGCTAGCCATGGAGGCAACAGCTGCAGCAGCCAGACAATTCAAATAACTGCAAACCAGCGTCTCAGGTGGACTCACCACATTGTCGTGGGCGTCTCATTAGAGCCCTCATTATAGCTTCAGAGTGCAGTAAAGCTGACTCAATAGTTTTCTTTTATCCACTTGTATGAACATAAAGTCTAAGAGCTGTTTTCTTGTAATTCATCATAGAGGTCATTTGCCATGGTAATAGAATATGGAGATGAAAGATGGATGAAATATGTAAGCACATGATATGGACCACAGCTTCTTTAGCAGATCATACCTGTTAAGCACGGCTGGGCTTTTAGTCTAGTAGGAGGCTATAAATAGTTTTTTTTCAAAAACTAAGGACTTGATAAGGCCTCGTAGTTGAGGGGTGATTGTAAGTCTATATAGTTTTGGTGTATGTGGTTTTCCACATACCTGATAGCTGCTTTTAGCTCTTTGAATCCTTTTCCACAGCTCCTGAGTCATGCTGTGACTGGCTTCTAGCCCTTCAGCTCCTGACCTTATTCTAGTTCTACTTGTTTCTTATTCCAAGCTCCTACCTCAAATAGTATCTTTATCTTGGCTGTCATTGATGCTCTTTGCAAGTGTATGTCTTGACTTCCTGTTTCTGACTTGGACTGATTCTGACTGACCTGATTCCAGCTTGGCACTACCTAACAAACATGGCAGATGATGTCAAAATCTCCTTACCCACAAATTCCCTTCTATATCCATAGTCCATCAGTAGTACTGTAAGCATGAAGAAATTGCAAAATACAACCTGGTCAAATGTGTTTCTCACACCACAGTGTCTAATGAATGAACTGACTTCTGGTGAACCTGAAACTTAAACTAACATTTTCCAGCAACATACTTGAAAAGGAAAAATTGTTACAGGAAAATTATAGAAGAAGACTACGGGTAAATTTTTCATATAGTCTCCAGTTTTCATCTCAGCCATCTTTTCAGTTCCTTCTTTCTTTTCAATAATAAATCAAAACTGGCCTACTACAAAAGCAATTTCAGTGCTAGAGACAGACGTAATTTGCACAGTACCTAGATTCCTTTCCTTCTGAATGTTCCTGACCCTTACATTCCATGTTCTTACAAAACTCATGTTAACCTTCCTGGAAATTTTGAGTGCTGAAGGTATGTAGAATTAAATCCAGTGTGCTTATCTAGTGACAAATCAGGGTGGGAATCCTTTTTTACTTTTTTAATCTTTCTGTTTTTCTCTTACAGTGTCTTTAGAGGAGGAAAAATTGCAAGAGCTGGGTGATACTTTAAAGTTACTACAAAGATGTAAGTGTAATCCTAGTCTTTCACAGAATCCATAGGAATGTGAACTCTGAGTAGCAGGAAACAGAAAAGATAAAAGGCATTGTAAAAGTAAGGGAGCCTATTGAAAACAAAGGAGCAACAAAATTAGCTAGACATGGTAGATGTCCCCCATTTTGATTTTCTGAAAAGATTTTAAATGTTTCCATTAAGTACAGAAGATTAAGTAACAAGTCGTATCAGGAAAACTTACACAAAGTGGCTTTTGTAGAGAAAGGAAAGAAAGGGAAGTCAACTTATTTTTTATGATGAATTGAAATTCTCTTCTACATTTCTCTTCCAAATTTGGCCCCAGATTTTAAGCAACCGGTAGATAAATTGAGTAGCATAATTAGATGCTTAACACATCCAGAGCACTGTACAGCCATTGAGTAGCCAAGTCGTCTTGACTGGCATACAGACAATCCAAGTTGTCT